GTCTCTCTCTCTCTCTCTCTCTCTCTCTCTCTCTCTCTCTCTCTCTCTCTCTATCTATGTGTGTGTGTGTGTGTTCACTGCATGTGTGCGCATGAGTTGATAAGGAGTGGAGTAACCTCTTAAATATTTTTAGTGTTTGATTGACTTCCGAACTCTTTAAACCAATATGATTGCACGTGAAGGTCTTTCTTTCTTATGAGCCAGATTGATGTTATAAGATTTCAGGTGGCATGCCATAGCTTCATGGACTTGGGATGCTCAAGATGAAACTTGTGGGATTTGTAGAATGGCTTTCGATGGCTGTTGTCCAGATTGTAAATTTCCAGGCGATGACTGCCCACTTAGTAAGTGCAATTTTTCTATTTCATTATTCTTGCATCTCCTCATAGATGAGGTGAATTACTTATGTGGGGCGATGTTTGAAGTATGAGCTTTCTATGTGTCTCCACACATATTTTATGTCTTGAGACATAGTTCTATGTTCTCTTATCTTCATCAGACACATGGAAGTGATATTAAGGTCACACGTTAATTATGGCCTAACAAACATAGCTGGCACCAGCTTGTGACATTATTTCAGCTTGCTCACAGCCATCCAATTAAGATTCGGTGGCTGTGAGCCTTTAGACACAAATAAAATAGGGAAATTTATCAAAGTACTCATTAGAGATGAATTATTCAACAATTTCTCATAACTATTCCAACTAAAGATAATATGGTTTTTTATGGGTATTTTGACATTAAATGAAAAGATACGGGTAACCTGTTAAAATTATTCATCTGTTATGGGCATTTCAATAAATTTCCCTATAAAACATGTGTGGAGAATGTAGAAAGCACTCCATGCTTGAATATTAGTAGTCCCATTTCAATCTGAGTAGACGGGTCTAATTGGCAACTTTTATTAATTTTCTTTTTCCATTTTTCCCAAAGAACTCATGAATATCTGAAAAACTTGAAAACCTAAAATTTTCTTTGTGCACACATATTACTACATATGTACTTGACAAAATAGTTTAACTTGCATAAAATTGCATATTACGTTTACTAATACTAGTTAGAAAACTTAATATGAGGTACTGTAAGTTTAAGATTTTATAGTTATTAGGCTATTAGTTAGTATCTTACAATTTGTGTTTTAGCACTATACAAATTGTACATGAAATAGTTAGTAAAGTTGTTAGCTTTGGTCATAAAAAATATTATAAGAATATTGATTCTAATGACAAGATTAATATAAAGTTAACAGTAGAATACTGACTCATTTTCTCTCGTTTGTTGGTATGTTGGCAGTTTGGGGTGCATGTAACCATGCATTTCACCTCCATTGCATCCTGAAGTGGGTCAATTCGCAAACTCCTCAGCCACAGTGTCCCATGTGCAGGAGAGAATGGCAATTTAAAGAGTAGTAAACTAAGTTTCGTAGTACATGAACCAATATTCCGTAGTACATGAACCAATATTCTAATCTACCGGTTGTGTTGTTTGGTCTAATTGTCAATTTTGGAGTGAGTAGCTTCTTTGCAAATCTGGAGGTAGTGAGGTACTGCATTCGTACCTGCTTATAACTTTGTGATCATTTGATGTTCATCGGTCTTAGAAGATGAAATTCTTAAGTTTTCGATCAACTTAAAAGTCATTCTTTACGCATTGCCTCGGGAGCCCATCATGTGCCTCAAGCTTATAACTTATTGTTATTCTGCACCCTTTGCTGTTGGTTTTTTTTGTTGTTGTTGTGACTGCTGCTGGTGTTATTACTACTATGATTATTACTGATACTGACATTCTTGTGTTTATGGATTGATTGTTGAGGATCGCACAAGATTACATACACATTTCTTGGATCTTGAACTCAAGTTATTGTTGATTTCTAAAGATTAAGAGTTTGTTATGAGGTTTGCTTAAGAGAGCCTTTCGGTTTGCTTATGTTCAACTGATTCAGGAGATGTCTTCAGGTGTATTCGTAAAGACTGAAAAGCAGACTTTCGAAGAAATAAAACTTGAGAGGCAATTTTTAGGAACGTTTCCAATATATAAGGTATATTTCTCAAAATTATGAACATGTTGAGCATAATTTTGATATTTTTAAATATATCGGGCATATTTACTCTTAACTTTACATATATGGGGCATATTTAAATAATTAAAAGATATGTTGCTGTGGGAGCTTAGGAATCTTTTTAGGGTCCTAAATTTTGGCAAAGTCACAAGTTCTATGTAGTTGGAAAAAATAAAGTTCCGAGAATGAACAAGGAACATCCAATTTTTTAATTTGGATCCCAAAAACTCAAATAAAAAAAATCTCCCCTAATATCTCTTTGACCTGAGAGAGTTAATGTAGAGAATGCTCTCATGATAAACACTCTTGAAAAGAAAAAAAAGCTTGCAGGAAAAATGGTGTTATTATAAACTACAAAAATAATAATAAACTAACTGCCCTTCTCACTCTAATTAAACTGAGTTCCCTTTTTCTCTCTCTCTCTCTCTCTCTTCTTTCTTTAAAGCGTGTGTACGTGATCTTTCATCGAGAGCTTTAAGATTGCAAACCATCTGCTATGCATGAGTATGCATGTCTCATGCATGTATGCAACCACATGTTGCCCTTCATGCACTTGTTTTTTGGTACATATGAAATGTTTTTGGGCGCATATGGCTTACTCCCGCAGGAGCATATTGTATATTTACTCCCATGAGCAAAAGACCTACTCTAGGAAAAAAAATTTCGGTATGGAGCTCAAATTTAGAATCAATAAATGAGTATTTCCAACAAAAAAAAAAAAAATGGAAATTTGAGCTTCTAAACTTTTAGATCTGATCCTCCAAAAATTGGATAGTCTTTGTGCTCTTTGAACACTAGGGACATATAGAATGTGCTTTGTAGAAGGGTTTAAGTTTACATTGATCTAAGCGCTGTGCACCTCTTCCCTGCTAAATTACCCAAAACAAATGTGCTTTGTACCCTCTAATGTCTCCCATTAATTGAGGAGCATGGGCTTGTAGTTGGATCATAGTTTTCTATCATTTTGAAACAGCGTTTTAAAACCTGGCAGTCTAGATTAGGAATCACTGATATGGACCAGGAATTGGTCTAGACAGACCAAGTTCCTTGTTGGAACCAGGAATCAGTTTGGTTTCCTTGAACTCGCTCGTTTGTGTTAGGGTACAGGGTGATCTAGAATTGTTGAATCACCTAGTTTCCACAATTCTTTTTTTTATTCTATTTTTTCAAAAATTATTATTATTTTTTAAACCAAATTTTCACACTAGAAAATCTGTCCGATTCTGTAGCTAATCTAGACCAAATTTTCAAATAGTGGTTCACCCCGCCGATCCAGGTTTTAAACAACTGCTTTGAAATAATTAGGATGAGACCCAAGGAAACCAATAATAAAAGTGTGTATATATCTTCATTTTGTAAGGGGTTTGTATTTTTTGTCCTTTTACACTAATTTAGGTGCACTTGAGCAAATTGCTTATGGATTCATTCAGCTTTTCCCAATATTTTAGATTCTCTTATCCTTTAAGCATGTGATTTGTGGGTAGTTCAAACTCTAAAATTGTCTATGATCATGCCTCCGCACATTTTATCTTTTTTTTGGGATTCTTTGTGGTGAACTTTGAGTACCCTGTGTAATTCAATGTTCAATCACAATTCTTGGATGTTGGAAGTTGATTGTTTGGGTGAAATGGGAGCAGAAAAAAAGTACGATTTCAAAAATAGGAAGCTGGAACTCTTTTTGTTTTCGCGCACGTAGGAGCGCTATCTCTAAACGATATTTGCCCTCATTCGATATAGAATTTGATGTGCATAAAAAGGGCAATTCGTCCTGGGGATACAGGAAAATAGAGAGGCATATTTCAATATTCTTAAGCTCTATACACTCGAGTTTGGAATCCACACACTAGACACCAGAGTCTTGATAATTTAGAGAGACAGACAAAATCGAGTAGAGAGCAAGAGGTTAGCTTACTGGTAATTTAGAGAGAGAGACAAAATTGAGTAGAGAGCAAGAGGTTAACTTACTGGTTTTTCTCGTTGGAATTGAGCACTTGTTCATTAGTGTATTGGTGCTACAAGTTGCATGCACTTATAGACACCAGAGTCTTGATAATTTAGAGAGAGAGAGAGAAAATCGAGTAGAGAGCAAGAGGTTAGCGTATTGGTTTTTCTCACTGGAATTGAGCACTTGTTAATTAGTGTATTGGTGCTCACTGGAATTGAGCACTTGTTAATTAGTGTATTGGTGCTACAAGTTGCATGCACTTGATGGTTGTTATTACTAGCGCCTTTGCGCCCACGCCCTCGCATAGCACATGCACTTTCTCTCCCTTTTATCTTTTGTATTTAGAGTATATTGTATGGGAATGCACGCCCTCGCATAGGACATGCACTTTCTCTCCCTTTTGTCTTTTGTATTTAGAGTATATCGTATGGGAATGCGTGCTCTTAAATATAACTCAATGAACGATCTCCTCTTCAATGTAGAACTCAAACCCATATCTTTCTCTTTCTACAAAACAATTTAAGAAAGAACAATAAAACCATAGTCAAAACAATTTAAGAAAGAGCAATAAAACCATAGTTGTTGTTTTGAAATACATATAAGCATTTTTCAAACAAAAAAATACTAACATTGTAGTCGTCTGGTAATACTATCTTGGAAAGATCAAGGAGAAAGCAAAGACTGGCTCTGCAAAAACTTTTCTCCTAAGTCAAATAGACTTGGTGATGATGGAAGTAGATTATCCTTGAACTGTATCCTGATATTCACAGGCTTCAAAATCCTCATTATTTTTTGTTGTTCTCGAGAAAGCAAAGAGTTGCTCTGCAAAAACTTTTCTTCTAAGACAAATAGACTTGGTGTTGATGCAAGTATATCATCCTTAACCGTATCCTGATCTTCACAGGCTTCAAAATCTCATTATTTTTTGTTGTTCGCACTCCATCTTTTGACTGTTACACTGAAATGCTTGCCTTGGTGATAAAATTGGAAAAAAGAAGAAGGTAAATGACTTAATCATGAAGAAATTGAAGATTTCAAACAGTGTGGGATTTGTTGTTAAGCATATCGAACTCGCATATTGGGCCAGCATGAGTTCTCTTCTGGCATTCATCATCTCCTGTTAACTGCGCCTTGCTATCTTATTGTAGGTTCAGTGCTTTTATATTTTGTTGCAATTTGATCCCCCATTTGTGTGCGCTTTACATGAACTGCACTCCCACCATTTAACTTATCTGATTTTGATGCTAGATTTGATTTAGACGAGCATGTGAAAGCGCGATTGCACATACAGAGGTCAAGGTTGATTAGACCTCAATCTAATTTCTAGAAAGACTGCAGAGAAAGCTTTCTTGTTTACAGAAGAGTGCTACATATTATAATTGAGCATTTCATTCACTGATTTCTTGTTAATAAACAGTTGCAAATTATGTTTCCCACTTCCAAATTACCAGTTTTGGGACATCTAGAATTAACAAATCGAATTCAGTTTTGTAAAGGTAGCATGAATTTGCTCTTCTTGTGATGAAAATATAAGGGATATCTAGCCCCTGAGAATGTGGCTCATTCACCATGGAGACTTTGCTAGTTAACTGTGAGGTTGTCATCATCATCAGAGTATTTTTTCAATTAATTGAGATTGGCTACATGAATCCGGTCTGCCTTTCTTCAGGATTCATGATTTTGACAAAATTTTACGTTGGCTGTCTACCTAACACAACCCAGCCCTTTTACCTGGGTATGGGACGGGTTAAAGAAAATCTAAAGTATCGCCCTTCTTCGACCTTACTGAATCCAATCCTCCGGTCCGATTTACCACATGAATTAGAAGTGTTTTCAAAAGTCTTATCTTAATGAAAAGAAGAGAAAATCATGATGCTTTCCACTTGAAGCGCACAATGGGATTGCTTCTCGGATAATTTTTGTGCTCCTTAACTATTGCCATCCATGCAGCACACAACCATGAATTTTTAGTTCTTTTCTTGATAGCATAACTACGTTTTTCTAAGTAAACATCAAAAGAAAAAAAGACAGCTTCTCTTTTATAACTCAATTGAATGGTTTCTATGTGTTGCCATGGTTATAGGCATCATTTTCATTCATGGCTTTGATAACCATCGGTTATTTCTTTACAGTTGATCTTATTTGTGACCTACTTATGCAGATTATATAAAGAAAAAGAATGGAAAGATATGACGTCTGAACAATTGGGGTCTTGATGATTGGGATGCATCATAAAGAGGTGATAAATGCCAAATCTATTATGAATAACTTTGAATTGGGTGCAGAGTGGAAATCTATTATGAATAACTTTGAATTGGGTGCGGAGTGAAAATCTATTATGAATAACTTTGAATTGGGTGCGGAGTGGAAATCTATTATGAATAACTTTGAATTGGGTGCGGAGTGAAAATCTATTATGAATAACTTTGAATTGGGTGCGGAGTGGATCAATGAATTCAAGAGCTTGTTGGCCAAAGACAAAGGGTTGCAATATTGTTATTATACGAGACGAGGTGATGAGCCCCGAGTTTCAACCCAATTTATGGAGCATTGAAATGGATGATTATGATGATGACATGGAAGAGTTTAATATGGAGACCAAGATGGTTGTCGTTGATGATGCCGATGATGTTGAGGATGGAGAGGCGTTTGATAATCAGTCAGCAGGTAGGAGATAATCAGTCAGCAGGTAGGAGAGGGAACCTCGAACTGTGAAAGCAGAAAAAGTCGAACTGTGAAAGCAGAAAAAGTAGCTTGCTCATGCTTGATATTTCAAAATCTTGTTAGTTTGGTGGTAACCTTTTTGTAAATCGGTTCCCCTTACCTGGGAGGTGTGTATCTCTACCTAAAAGTGCGTTGCTTATAAAGTGGTTGGAAATATTGCTGGTGGCAATTCACTTGATATGAACGGTTCACAATCAGTATTACCTATCACTATTATCTATTTCATTCCTTTTTTAATTGGTTCTTCAAAATTATTAACATTTGGTGTCATTGTTGGACACTTCTATCTCTCTCTCTCACACACACACAAACTGCATGTTTCTGCAAAATTTATGACCATCTATCCATCCCACGATTTTTTTCCCCACTTAATAGAGGATATTAGATTTCAAGGGGGACAAAGAATGTGCATAAGAACAGTACCAGCCAACAGCTAGCGCCGTCCATCCTATCCTGCTGGTTTCTCATCAATACATTTGCGCTGTAAAAGGCATGGGTATATTAGGACAACAACAAAGAAGACTTCAGACATAGGTCAGGCTCTCTAGAAAATGTGGATGGTGGATGCTCATGTGTCTGCTTGGTTTTCCAGGGTGTTAGGACCAGAAACATATTCTAAATCACTGTAAATCCATTTCTGCCTTATCTGGAGCTCAAAAAATTGTCGATTTGGTGATTTTTTGAAGAATTGAAATGAAAGAGTGTACAAGACGGACTATTTCTAAGGCCCATGATAGTGGTGGTCAAGATGAAAGACCAGTGAAGTTCTGAGTTGAAAATTCATCTCCATCCCCAGAATGTACCAAAAACCCACCCCACAACAGTACAAAAAATGTGTAGAGGTCAGTTCCATATCAGTGTTGATTAACATAAACAGATGGATTCTTTAAGGAATCAGCAAGGCCAGGAACCAAGAGTTTATGAATGCAGATTCCCAGTTCTCCAGTGCTCTCACCTCTTATGAGGCATCTCTGATCTAAAAAGGACCAACCCTTAGTCTGACAACCCCTTCATAATGGTCATGGGTAACATAGTGCATCAGCCAACTGATCTCTCTCTTCCTCAAACGCCTGCCTCTAAGGCCATTACTATATTTCGTGCATAGGGACCATCTGAACATATCTTTATCTGTTGATAAAAAAATATTGAAGGAGAGAAACTGGTAAAATAAAACAAAGCTTCTATCTATCACCAATCAGAACATCTAGCATATTGGAGGCAACAGAAAAATCAGCTCCATATAGGATTCTTTGCACCAGAACATTCCATGTGGGTACACTTGGGTAAAGGCCCCTATTCAGCATCTTGAGAACACAAACCATGGCTTCCGCTAGATTTGACTGTTTGCAAAGGCCAAATATCAAACTTGTGTAAGTATATACATCAGGGTAATGGCCATTTGAAGCCATAAAACCCATAAGTTGTATGGCTCTGCTAACTTTGCGATCCTTGCAATAGGCATCAATCAGAGTGTTATATGTAATTATGTCAGGTTTAATACCTCTCACCACCATCTTGCCCATTGTTGCATGGGCCTCTGACATTTTGCAAGCAATGGAGAGACCATAGATTACAGTGTTGTAAGTCACTAAATTGAATTCACATCCTCTGTCTAGCATCTCATTCATAAGGCTCAAGGCTTTAGTGAAGTTGCATTCTCTATAGAGACCAGCCAACAACGCATTATAGGTTTTAACATCAGGCAAACAACCTTCTCTATTCATTGAATTTAGCACATTAATGGCACATTCAACTCTATCATTATCGCACAGTCCTTTGATAAAAGTATTATAAGTTACAGTATTTGGAGGGCATTTTTCAAGCCACATACTCTCTAGCAGATCCCAAGCTTTTGAAAACATGGAATTTTGACATAGGGTCTCTACCATGCAGGTATATACAATGACATTAGGACAGCAACCATGGCTAATCATATTGTTCCATATGTCCATGGCACCTTCTAAGTCCCCAAGTTTAGAACACCCATCTATTAGTGCACTATAGGTCGTGGCATTTGGGGTGCAATTATTTTCACCCATTTCATGCAACACCAAAATAGCTCTCGCCACATTCCCATTGCTACAAAGCCCATGTATGAGAGTGTTGTATGCTATGATGTTAGGTAAACATCCTCCAAGAACCATCTTATCCCACATATCAAGGGCTGTGTTAACGATTCCAACCCTGAACATGCCCTTTATCAAGGAGGCAAAAGTTATGATATTTGGCTCGCAACCTCTTACAAACATTTGAGCAAAGAATGCAAGTGCCAACGTCAGTTTCCCCATCTCACAAAGAGCATCAATGATTGTAGTGTAAGTAATAACATTTGGGCTTAAACAGTGATTTTCCATCTCGTCTATTAAAAGAATGGCTTCTTCTATAGCCAATTCCTTGCATAATGAGTTTATCAATACATTGTAAATGGGGATAGAGGGAGTAAAATTGTTTGCAAGGTCCTTTGCCTCTTGGAATTTCCCTTGTCGACAAAGAGCAGATACTATAGTCGTATAACTCACAACATCTGGAGAACATCTTTTCTTTGACATTTCAATGAGTAACTTGTGAGCAGCATCAGTTCGATTGTTTTTGCACAATGCTTTTAGCAGAATGTTATAGGTGTATACATTAGGCTCCACTCCATCTTTCTTCATGTTACTGTAAATTGGGTTGATCATTTGGAACCTGTTCTCATTAAGCAATGCATCAAAAAGATGGTTGTATAACTTAGTGGTGGGTTTGCAATTGAAATCTTGCATTCGATAGAATGTTTTCAAGGCTTGCTCTCCCATTCCAAGGCGCCCATAAGCTCTGATCACACCAATGAATATATCTTCAGAGCATGGAACCCCTTCTAATTTCATTTGTTGTAAAAGATATTGGACCCCATCCATATGCTTTGCAAATTCGAGCTTCTCTATCATCAGTTGATATGTAAGAGAGGTGTGCTTGAACCCTTTTGAATTGGTTATGAACTTGAAATACTCTAAAGCCACATTTACATCCTCTTCATGTTTCAATCTTCTAAAAACTTCAAACTCTTTAGGAACTGCCACACTTCCTTTCGATTCTTTGTTATCCCCACTCCTTCCATTCATATTGAGAAGAACAGAGACAGAAGGCCTCCTTACCTTGAGTAATAATGTCGACCCCTCTTTCAATACCATGACCTCCTAAGTGGCCTTTCAAGATCACATTGTTCTAAGAAGAGAAAACTTCAAATCACAAAATGTAGTTCTTTCAATATTTCTAAGCGATAAGAGATCCGCGATTGAGCCATGATATGCAAAACACCTGTCAAAGCCCATAGGGGCTGTTGAAAAATCAAAATACTAACAAGAGTAAGAACAAGAAGGCCGTGTATTACATTGAGAAAAGACAAATGTTCATGTATCCTTGTTCACGCACACACTATTTGGCATGAACTCCACTGTATTTGAAAACCAAGAAATTCATTAAACTTGCAGCTCATATTCAAGCATTAATCGAAACAGAAAACAGAAAGAAGATGCAGTTCAAAATTCATACCAGTATTCCATAAAAGCAACCGCTAAATTAGAGAGAGACACTGATTATCTAACAAGCAAGCCCACCCAAGTTCATTCTTAATTGAAACAGAGAATAGAATGAAGACCCAGTTCAAAATTCTTGCCAGTATCCAATAAAAGCAACTCTGAACTAGAGAGAGAGAACTATTTTCTTAACATGCAGGCCCACCCAAATTCATGAATTAACCAGAACAGCAAATAGAGAGAAGCCCCAATTCAAATTTCATACCATTAGGCAACAAAATGACGCCTACATTAGAGAGAGAAAACCATTTTGTAAGAATCAAGCCCACCCACATTCACGAATTAAATCAAACAGAGAATAGAAAGAAGACCCAGTTGAAAGCTCCATACCAGAACTCAATAAAGGCCGTCCTAAATCAGAGAGAGGAAACCATTTTCCTAATAAGCAAGCCCACCCACATTCATGAATTAAAGAAAACAGAGAGTAGAAAGAAGACACAGTTCAAAATTTCATACTATTATTCAGAAAAAGCACTCCTAAATTATTGCTAAGAAGCATTCACGAATTATTCAAAACAGATAATAGAAAGACGTCCGAGTTCCAAAATCAATACCAGTATTCAATAAAATCAATCCTAAATAAGAGAGAGAGCCATTTTCCTAACAAGCAAGCCTACCCATAATTCATGAATTAGTGAAAACGAAGAAATGAAGATTCATTTCAAACCAGTATTCAATACAAGGACCCTTAAATTCGTGAGAGAAAACCATTTTCCTAGCGAATTAATGACACTAGAGAATAGAAAGAAGACGCAGTGAAAAAATGCTAAGCAATATCGAATAGAAGCAATCCTAAATTAGAGAGAGAAAAAACAGAATTAGAGTACCAGTAGGGACTAGAGACAATGTTAGAGATGTTTCTCGCTCTGGATGCGCCACGAAATGCCTCAAGAAATCAAGTGGGTTCTATCATTAACGACTTTCTTAGCATCGCCAAAAGGATTCAGAGCAGGTTTAGTTTTAAAAATTCCATCTTTTCAAGTACGTCAATCTCTCTGTCTCTCTCTCTCTCGAGAGAGATATTTAGGGCAGAAAGTGCCGGCTGGTTACTGTTTTAAAGCGCCACGTGCGTTTCTAGAGAGAGAAAGATTGATCATGACCGTCCATTCAAGTGAGTGGCTTCTAATCTCCCCTTATAAAACTAAAACCCCATTTTTTTTCACCAAAAATCAGCAATGGCTTCCCTCGCTTGTTTCAAACCAGGAGGTGTAGCCTCTGAAACTCTCTCTCCCTCTGCAAAAGATAAAATCTTTTCTCTCTCTTGTACCTGTTTTTCTACTTTTGCTTCTTTTAGTGGCCTTGGCTCAAATAGAAGGCTCACAAAAAGTTGCAGAGAAAGGTCTCCTACACTTGATGGCCATGGCCATGTCTTGTATCTCAGAATTCATTGTTCAAGGCCTCTATGGTTTGGGGGTGGTCTTGTGGCCGTGAAATCGATTGGAGAAGATGATAAGAATACTTCTTCTTCATCAGAGTCTTCTGAGGATCTCTTTGGAAACAATGAAGATCAATTTTCAGGTTCTGAATTTTTCATGCGCCCTAACTTTTTTCATCCCCATTTTTCTTCGTACTTGGTGCAAGGGACTGTAAATTGGGTCATAATTAATCAGAAAATAAGAAATGTAAGTGACAAATGCGTTGAACTTTGAAATACGATACATAAACACACCCCCTCATTAAAAACACACGCACACACACACATAGAGTTTTGAATTTTAGTGAGATCCTCTAGGCCATGATTCTCTCCTACTTTCTGGGATGGTTTCTAGAATTAATTCCAAAACCCATGTCTTTAAAACAAGAGCAACCCAAATGATAGATATTTTATAGTCAGAAATTTGGAAGGGATTTTTTTTTTTTGGCAGCAATTAAGGTAAGTTTCATACTCTCTTTGCAAATGAAGTTTGAATCTTAATGTGATTTTCTCACACCCGGTCACCCCTATTTTCAAAATAATGCAATATACATAAAAAGTATTTATATTCGAAGTTTTGGGAGTGGGTTTTCTAACATCATTAGAATGCTATATTATAGAAAAACCTGTACATAGACCCATATTTTTTGAGAGAATATTTTTTATTTGAAGCGTTAGATTATGCACCTATGTGTGCAAAATGTAGGGTCCATCAGATACTAAAATTTCCAGGGAAAAAATTTCTAAGTTGCAACCCTGGTCCTTCGTTGAGCCTCTCCTTCAATCTGGTCCATCAGGTCTTTACTGTTCAATAGGCCTATGGGCTCATAAGATCTTTTTCCACTGTATGTGAATAATTACTTTAAAATCGGTTATGATTTTTTTTTTCTTTTGATGTGGGAATATTGCTAAGGTATAATTTTGCTTGGTATAATTTTACCGTATGATTGCCACGGAGGTCATGTGATTCTGAGATGCGGCCATATTGGTGTCAAGAGGGACATAACTGTAGAAGTCTAAATCTATGGATTGAGGATGGAGTGACATTAATTGTTTTGGTGGGTGATGGCATTCTTATTAGTATCATCATCATCATTGTTATTGGGATAGTTCAGGATAGGAATTCAATCTTATTAGCATTATTTGTTAGTGATGATATGATTTCCTATTAGCATTCTTACTAATCAATTAAAAAAGGGGAAATTTAACATAATGCCTATGCATTATTTAACATTTTACACATTTGTAACTATTCCAAATATTGATCATCTATGTTTGGATCGGTATCTTGAAATTAATCAAGCAGTATGGGTAAAACAAATGGATTGGCCCCAACCCTTGTGACTCATTCTATCCCCTCTCCCTTTTTCCCGCACCCTCTCACTTACTCTTTTGCTCCCTTCCCCCCCCAAGCCCTTGGCCCAGAGGCCTTTTGACCCTGTTTCGACTGTAACTCTCCACTGCATGACTATGATCCCTCCCCTCAGGTGTGGAGCTACCATCATACTCAAACTGACTCAAGCTACGAACCCCTTCCATGCATCAGCCCTTCCACTCCCCTCGCCTAACCAAGCTCAGGGTCGTTCTTAACTTCATCACCTTTGATTGGTTCTAGTTTTGTAGTAGGCTTGGACAAGACCCGAGGTGGCCTTGTTTAAGTGCTCAAAGTCATGGGGTTTCAAAGTGAAGATCATGAAGTAGGCATCGTTGCTTTCATTAACACTCTTAAAAGAAAAAGACATCGATGCTTTCCTAAAAGCTGACGCCCATACTAGATGAAAAGTAAGCAAGAAAGCAATAGAGAACTTTCAAATCTCACCTCTGATGTCTGATATGACAAGGCAAATCCCCTCCTTCCTTGGCCCCCTTGACAACTACTTCGTTGTCCCTCAAGCTTCCCAGGCGAGCCCAACCCCTCGACTCCTTCTCATGAAACTTCTCACTTGGAATGTCCAGAGCCTAGATGGACCCCTAAAAGGTAGCTCAGCCTGAGAATTTTGCTATAAATACTCCTCTGTCCTTACCCTCATCGAAACCAAGACGCCTGCCCCACCCCTCTTTGATACCCACAAGGTCTGGGGCTCTAGGCCCTGCTAGTGGCTTTCTCTTGTGGCCAATGGGGTCTCAGGTAGTATCTAGCTAATCTAGGACCTAACCACCCACTTCCTAGATTACCATCTCCCCAACCAAGGCATCCGACGGCCTACCGTGGAAGTTCACAACAGTTTACAACCCAAATGCTGACAATTCAAGAGCCATCTTTTGGGACAAATTAGATGCCGTTACTGCCAAGCCCCCATCAAGATGGTGTCTTGGTGGAGATTTCAATATCACAAGATGGTCCCTTGAGAGGAATACTAGTTCCAAAGTTACCCAAATAATGCTCCAATTCTCAGATTTCATATCCAAACACCACTTTATTGACATCCTGCTTGAAGGTGCGGCTTTTACTAGGTCCAATGTTTAAAAAATGCGCATGCGGGTGCCTAGGTGTTTTGAGGGCCTGGCCGACTAGGCTCCCTCTCAAGAACAGGGGACCCTCACCAAAAACCAAACCCCCCCCCCAAAGTTTTAAATGAAGATATAATATGTAAGAATTAAGATATAACATAATTAAATTATTAAATAAAGTAACAGAAAAATAATAGAATATCAAAACATGACACATTATACAAAAGAGGAAACTATTCATAAAAGAATTCGATACATGCCCAATTTCATCATCGAAATGGGAAAATATTCAATTAATCATAAAAAAATTCAATCTTTCAACTACAAACTTGTAAATATATCATAAAAAAAAATAAAAGAAAAAAACAAATCATTCACAACATATAGCAAAAATAATCAAAACCCTTAGTCAAATATGATAATGATTTAAAAATATCAAAATCAAATCGACGTCGGCACAAATCTTATCTATTGGGTTGCCAAAAGTCCTCAAAATTGACTACTAGAAGCTCCAAAACCACCCACGAACTATTGCCTTTGTTTTGGGAAGAAATTGAAAAAATCGCAAATTTATCGATCTTTCTATAAATCACAGATTCGAGGTTTTTAGAGAGTTTTAATCTCTCTAAGAGCCATTGATTAGGTTCGTGGGCGTTTAGAATACCCCCCAAAACCCTTCCCCCCCCCCCCTAGCCTTTTTTTAGGGGGGGAAAAAATTTCTAATTTTGATCCTAGCCGAGGGCATTTTCCACCCTAAACAACCTGCATAGAAGTGGCACCTAAGCGGCCACCTTGACTGTAGCACCTAGACGCAAGCCGCATAGGTGCCCCGCTTAAGTTCTGCCTAGGCGTTTAGTAATTTGGCTTCCTAGGCAGCAGGGCTGTTGAATTTTCGAACATTGACTAGGTCAAACCACTCCTTCACCCCTTTGCTTTCTAAAGTTGACTGGTATCTAATTTGCTTTGCTTGGGATGCTGACTTCCCCAGAACCCACTCCTTTACTCTTCCAAAACCTCCCTTGGACCATAAACCCTTTACTCCTCAATACTCGGCCTATCTCCAGAGGACCTAAACCTTTCTGCTTTTAGTTAACTGGTTTAAAGAACCAGACCTGGCTTATCTTATCCCCACTTGGTGGAAATCTTTCTCACCTTTAGTCAATGTGTGGTTAGGCTTTTGATGTCAACGTAAACTGCAACTCCTCAAACATTCCCTAGGGAATTCGAGTCCCCATATTCGTGGCAATTTCCACGCCCAGAAAGTTGCCATCCTCAAATCCATGAAGGGACGAGAAATCTTAACGCATTTGAATAGAATGAGAGAGCCCAATTCAAGTTTGAATACCAGACTATCTTTCATAAGGAAGAAACTTACAGGTTCCAACGCTTCAGAGTGAAATGGCTCAAATTAAGAAACCCAAACACTGTCTTTTTCCACAAAATAGCCAGTTGTAGAAGGCAAGACAAAGCACGACCTTTTTTTTTTCGAGAATGTTAAACTTTTGAATTGATTGAAAGAAGTATTTACATGAAGAAACATCTACCGACAGCATCCCACATATTGCGTGCTCAAACTACGTTAAAAAAGTGCAAAAAGAGCATAATTGCTCATGGGGGAGGAGAAATTGCTAAGTAAAAGTCACTACTGAGAACTCTGTTACAGCGAAAGAAGAATTATGGGCAGTTGAAGCCTGACAACATTACAGTTTTACCTCCCATAGAAAGTATGAGAGGGATTAGGGGTAGAGGGAGAGAGTGAGTGTTGGTTGGGAGAAATTTAGTGGCTCTCGTCCTGAGGATCTGGTAGTTTGAGGAGAGCATTGCTGGGCCTGATACTGGGGTAGTGGTGATCCTGAGTCAGGCAGTAGAGTGTTGTAAGCCTGTGGGCTGAGTGTTGATGATCTTGCTCAACAGGTCGTGAGGGACAGCAAGCCTATGACACAACATTCCTTGGTAACATGTGACACAACATTCCTTAGAGTTACCATTCCGTTCGAGATGTACCTGGGGCAGAAAAGAGAAGGGTGAGAGAGGTTATAGAATCGTATGTACTCTCAGACTAGGGGAAGAAGATGAGAGAGGTAGCTTAGAGAATATCTCAGAAGATCGTAAAGGTGACTATTAGCGAGGGAGAAGATAAGAGAGGGGGGGGGTGGGAGACATAGAAGAGAGGGTTAAGAGAATAGAAGATAAGAGAGGGTTAAAAGGAGACAAAATAAAGTTAAAAGAGGTACTGGAGAAATAACCCAGAGAGAGTAGGGTGTTAAAGGTGTGGTGGCATGAGAGATAAAAAGAACCTCGCAGAGAAATGTCCCCCCCCCTTTTTTTTTCCCCCTTTTTTTCTGTTTTTTTTTTGGGGCTTTTGAGCCTGGATGGGGACTCGGGAAGAAAGCAGAAATTGTCTTCTAAGCTGAATAATGTCTCATGAAAAGGAGAAATTAGAGGGTTAAGTGATGGGAGAATGAGAGTCAAAGAAATAGGAGAAGAGAGAAAACTTTAGAGATTGGTCATTGCACCTTGGCCTTGATTTGCTCCTCCTTTTTCTAGGTGGTGAGCTTGTAAGTTGGCCTCCCAAAAGATTAATTTGAAGATAACCTGTGGCATTCTGCTGCACAGAAAATTGATGTGCTAAAAAATGGAGCATAGCCTCCGA